GTCCTGTACTCATGGGTCATTAGTTAATACGGTACTCATGGGTCATTAGTTAGTCCTGTACTCATGGGTCATTAGTTAGTACTGTACTCACGAGTCATGAGTTAGTACTGTACTCATGGGTCATTAGTTAATACGGTACTCATGGGTCATTAGTTAGTACTGTACTCATGGGTCATGAGTTAGTACTGTACTCATGGGTCATTAGTTAATACGGTACTCATGGGTCATTAGTTAGTACTGTACTCTCAGTACTCATGGGTCATTGGTACTCATGGGTCATGAGTTAGAACTGTACTCATGGGTCATTAGTTAGTACTGTACTCATGGGTCATTAGTTAGTACTGTACTCATGGGTCATTGGTTAGTACGGTACTCATGAGTCATTAGTAGGTACGGTACTCATGAGTCATTAGTTAGTACTGTACTCATGAGTCATTAATTAGTACTGTACTCAGTACTCATGGGTCATTGGTTAGTCCTGTACTCCCGAGTCATTAGTTAGTACGGTACTCATGAGTCATTAGTTAGCACGGTACTCATGGGTCATTGGTTAGTCCTGTACTCCCGAGTCATTAGTTAGTACGGTACTCATGAGTCATTAGTTAGTACTGTACTCATGAGTCATTAGTTAGTACGGTACTCATGGATCATGAGTTAGTACGGTACTCATGGGTCATTAGTTAGTACTGTACTCATGAGTCATTAATTAGTACTGTACTCATGGGTCATTGGTTAGTACTGTACTCACGAGTCATTAGTTAGTACGGTACTCATGGATCATGAGTTAGTACGGTACTCATGGGTCATTAATTAGTACTGTACTCATGGATCATGAGTTAGTACGGTACTCATGAGTCATTAGTTAGTACGGTACTCATGGGTCATTGGTTAGTACTGTACTCACGAGTCATTAGTTATTACGGTACTCATGGGTCATGAGTTAGTACTGTACTCATGAGTCATTAGTTAGTACTGTACTCATGACGTATTAGTTAGTACGGTACTCATGAGTCATTAGTCAGGACGGTACTCATGAGTCATTAGTCAGGACGGTACTCACGAAATGGAGGTTTCATATACTTATACGTTATACAGTGAAAAGTGATCATGATATACACGGTAATCGGGGTAGATGTTTTCACGAAGTTTCTGAGCTTTTATTCCTAATCATATAAATAATAATAAGATAAAGTTAATCCGCTGTGTGGAGATAGAGCAGTCCCTACGAGCCGTGTACCTGTAATCAAGCTGTGTACCTGTAATCAAGGTAGGACAGTCGTGTCACACAGACTCCTTCCAACGATATAATTCTACAGGTGACAACAGGTACCCCCTCTGTGGCGTTAGTCTTTAAGCGATACACCTGCATATACAGATTTCGCACCTGCGAGGTTAAGAAACTCGCTAATTCATTCCGATAGGGACCCCCTACATCAACAGTCTATACTGATGCTTTAACACCTTTTATGAGAAACAAAACTGCTTTATTTTTTCCTAAATTTAATAAATATTCTTTACATTGTACCTGAGTTTGACAATGATTATATTCTTGTGCACTCTTATCTGGACACTCGACATGCAGGTAGGCAATATTTCACTAACACTTGATATTCATATATATGAGCTAAACATCAAAAACCACGTTTCTCTTTGCGACAATCCTAGACGTACGTATCGATAACTGTATCTAATCTGGGGCATGCTAAACAACCAACTGTGCTCAGATGAACATTTTTATATAGGACAGAATCCAGGTACTGACCCCTGGTGAATTAAATGTTAATACATTACTTGCAATTTGCTAATTTTTGTTTATGCTAGACGTTATCAGTTGATCAGACCGAACCTAAAATATCAAGGTAGACATATTAAAACCTCGTCATATTCCTGTCTTATACATTGTTATGTCCTGTCTCATACAATATCATATTCCTGTCTCATACATTGTTATGTCCAGTCTCATACATTGTAATATTCCTGTCTCATACATTGTCATATACCTGTCTCATACATTGTCATTGTCCTGTCTCACACAGTCATATTCCTGTCTCATACTCTTTCATATTCCTGTCTCATACAATATCATATTCCTGTCTCATACATTGTTATGTCCTGTCTCATACAATATCATATTCCTGTCTCATACAATATCATATTCCTGTCTCATACATTGTTATGTCCTGTCTCATACAATATCATATTCCTGTCTCATACAATATCATATTCCTGTCTCATACATTGTTATGTCCTGTCTCATACAATATCATATTCCTGTCTCATACAATATCATATTCCTGTCTCATACATTGTTATGTCCTGTCTCATACAATATCATATTCCTGTCTCATACATTGTTATGTACTGTCTCATACAATATCATATTCCTGTCTCATACAATATCATATTCCTGTCTCATACATTGTTATGTCCTGTTTCATACAATATCATATTCCTGTCTCATACAATATCATATTCCTGTCTCATACATTGTCATAGTACTGTCTCATACATTGTTATGTCCTGTCTCATACAATATCATATTCCTGTTTCATACATTGTTATGTCCTGTTTCATACAATATCATATTCCTGTCTCATACATTGTTATGTCCTGTTTCATACAATAACATATTCCTGTCTCATACAATATCATATTCCTGTCTCATACAATATCATGTTCCTGTCTCATACAATATCATATTCCTGTCTCATACATTGTTATGTCCTGTCTCATACAATATCATATTCCTGTCTTATACATTGTCATAGTACTGTCTTGACGTATATCCTCTGATGACGTATAAGATATACATTCTGCTAACGTATAAGTTATACCCCCGATAATGTAGACGATATATAAAATATACGCTCTGATGATGTATAAGATATACCCTCTGATGACATATAAGATATACCCTCTGATAACATATAAGATATACCATCTGATGATGTATAATATATACCCTTTGATGACGTATAAGATATACATTCTGCTAACGTATAAGTTATACCCCCGATAATGTAAACGATGTATAAAATATACCCTCTGATGACGTATAAGATATACCCTCTGATGACATATAAGATATATCATCTGATGACGTATAAGATATACCCTCTGCTGACTTATAAATATACCCTTTGATGATGTATAAGATATAGACTCTAATGATGTATAAGATATACCCTATGATGATGTATAAGATATACCCTCTGATGACATATAAGATATACCCTCTGATGATGCATAAGATACACCCTCTGATGATGTATAAGATATACCCTCTGATGATGTATAAGATACACCCTCTGATGATGTATAAGATATACCCTCTGATAATGTATAAGATACACCCTATGATGATGTATAAGATATACCCTTTGATTGTATAAGATATACCCTCTGATGACGTATAAGATATTCCCTCTGATGACGTATAAGATATACCCTCTGATGACGTATAAGATATACCCTCTGATGACGTATAAGATATACCCCCGATGATGTAGATGACGTATAAGATATACCCTCTGATGACGTATAAGATATACCCTCTGATGACGTATAAGATATACCCTCTGATGACTTATAATATATACCCCTCGATAATGTAGATGACGTATAAAATATACCCTTTAATGATGTTTAAGAAATAGACTCTAATGATGTATAAGATATACCCCCGATGATGTAGATGACGTATAAGATACACCCTCTGATGATGTATAAGATATACCCTCTGATGATGTATAAGATACACCCTCTGATGATGTATAAGATAACCCTATGATGATGTATAAGATATACCCTCTGATGATGTATAAGATACACCCTCTGATGTCGTAAATGATATACCCTCTTATGATGTATAAGATATACCCTCTGAATGTATAAGATATACCCTCTGATGACATATAAGATATACCCTCTGATGATGTATAAGATACACCCTCTGATGTCGTAAATGATATACCCTCTGATGACATATAAGATATACCCTCTGAATGTATAAGATATACCCTCTGATGACATATAAGATATACCCTCTGATGATGTATAAGATACACCCTCTGATGTCGTAAATGATATACCCTCTGATGATGTATAAGATACACTTTCTGATGACGTATAGGATACACCTCCTGATGACGTATAAGATATACCCTCAGATTGTATAATACTTGTCCTGGCGCTACGTATTTGGAGACGTTTGTGGTAAAACAAATGTTTAAACACGTGCTAAAAATGTGACATTTTTTTCCCGGGCAGAACACATGTTTAATTTAATTACAGAGAGGGACACGACTGCTAACAACACAGAAACAACATAGCTTCATTCTGTGTAGCTGAATATGATGAAGTTCGTGTGTAGCACCAATAGCCGACATTGCTTGTTTTTAAAGTACTTACCACAGTGGTGAGACAGTTTGCAAATAAAACGTATTGCTTTCAATTATTGTAAAAGCCATATGTTTCGTCTTTATGATCTAAACTTGAGGAGGAAGAGTACGCACAGCTATTAAGATCTGACAAGTGCACGTACAGTTGAGAGACGTGACGTTGAGATGGGGAGGGGGTCACTTCCACATTAACGACAGCCCGTGTTTAGTGGAGGAGGAGGAGTAACAGACTGTACTATCATAGGTCTACACTCACATAGCAAAACCATTCAAACCTCTCCTAGTCTGTGGAATTCAATGATAACATTGATCCTTGTCAATAGATAAGTTACATACGAGGGCTGTCAAAGTGGATGTTATTCGGAAACTAAGTCACATCTTTTACTCTTCAAGACGTAACAATTCGGAAACATTGTACAACATTCTACAGTTGATGTGAAAGTTATCTTCTTGTATGTTAATGTGTGACCTCGTGTTACATATCGAAATGCTTCGCCTCTGAGTAAAATAAATATCTGAATCTAGAATTTAATTATACATATCTCTATTAACTTATTTTGATGACGTTTTGTCGAGAATTACGTACGTCATATGACTTACCTCTGTCGGGGAAGCTCCTGATGACGTCAGCCCGGTATGGACTCTCCCGTTTGACGAGCCCTCCCGGTTCGGTGATACTAGCATATAAGTCGATCATAAACTGGGGAGGGGATTTGTGAATGACTCGGGCGGGGACCCTATCTATCCCGAAAAACCGGGACAGTCTCTCTATCACCTCCGTCTGGTTGGAAGATTTAGTAGAGGGGGTCAAACCCGCTGGTACTTTCATGCGCGCGTGCGAAGGTATTCCAAAACCGACGACAACGAATATAACTATCACTAGAATCCGCCTGTTTCCGAAAAGTCTTCTTAACACTTTCCCAATCATCTTACACTGGTGTTGACAGCGTGCTCCCTGTTGATGATGGAGGTGAGTCGTCCATGCAGGTATAAATGTTGCGGTCGCGGAGCCAGTATTGGCTTGGATTACCAAGTGGGCGATTTATCAATACACAATTCCTTACATTTAATTTGTGTGAAAGTGAGAGAGAACACACACCAGTAAGTCGGTCTAGGGCACCGTGATAATACAATGCTGTGAGCGCCTCATTGTTCTGCACTTTAAGTTTCGGTTTTCCCACATTGTCAGATATTTAGAGTTCTGGCCAGTATTAGAAAGCTATTGTAATGACCTCAAGTGTCCAGAGCACTGTCACACCTGCGAACACGTGTATCCCTGCCACACATCCAGGGCTATGTCCAGCTAGTCTCCACCCGGTACACCACCTCTCCTGTCATACTACCGTGGCTATCGCAGAGGAAACACTCGCAAAACACACGTGTTTCTCGTAAGACACTAACAACATATACGTTCATCAAAAACACACACTATCTGAGCTGTTCTGGTGTATCATTTATACATCCAAATTAAATTTTGATTTTACGATGAATATTGTTTCATTGAGAATCAAAAACATGGTGCTTTCCATGCTTTTAGGAAAACAAGGTAGAGATTTGTATGACAGAATCCGTGAGCGTGGTGTTGGTGTGCGTTCGGTTGACTCCTCCCTCACCGTCTCTCATTGGCTGGGACCATTTGCTTTCTAGTTGAGCGATTGCCGACAGTTTACTTAGATATCTCATTTTCACAACCACTGTTTGTGTCCATCTCGAGTTACCACCCTTAACAGTCTAGGCCTCTTGTCAGTCAAAATACTTAACATGATAAAGGGCAAATGTATGTTTTAATGGAACGACATTTACCCCGACACAAAGCCAGCCAATTGACGCACACCCCACTCTAGACCCCGAGTAATGAGCGTGCTCCGCCACCTACAAATTTACCTGTTAAGCGCCCAATTGAAACAGACGTTTTATTAGCAGGTTACGAACTAGGGTTGACGCGTGATTTTTGTGTTGTTGTAATTTACACAAGGACTTTACAAATGAGATAATTTTGTTCTTTATTCTAGAAATTATAGATGGCGATATCCGGTTACTTGTGGCGAAGCATAAGTCAAAGAATTGGTTTTAACCAGTGGGACAACAACACTAAGTGGATACAAAACTACACTTAATTTTGGAAAATAGTTCTCAGTTTATGGTCGTATATCTCTGCATTTATGATTGGTGACAATGTACGCGTTACTACAGTCTTATGAATGGTTATAACCTGCGAAGCATTGAGGTACCTCTTCAACTTCAATGACGTCACATAAAGTGTTGTTTTTCGTCATCGTTTCCTGTTTCCAGCCAGTGAGATCACGGGTATCAATATTAGGCTCACTCCTCCGGTGGTTTTCGTTCGATTAGCCGCATGTATCACGAAAGTAAACATTCGAGTTCCGCTATAAAGCAAATGTTCCACTTTCTGAAACACGCATTCACTATAAAGATCGGAATGGCGTGTTTGTCACTTGTTATCTATTCATAATAACTTGCTACGCAGAATCCATGTATACTTAACAATCTCAACCGATAAACAAGGAATGGCATTCGAAAGTCGGGTTCCCAGGATGAGCAACATGTATTCTGGCAACATGTTACACACTTTGACGAAATATTGATTACTCCCCTTCCACTTCCGGTTATATTCATTAACACTCTCCCGAAATAGATGATATGTTGATATATGACAACGTTCAAGTTCTGATATCGGTAAAATACTCATCACTGTTTATATTGCTTTGATTTTAGAGAGTTTACACACACAATACAATGTATACTAAAGTACGGGCTGACGTAGACTACCGAAGAGTCAGTATTATATTATCTCCAGTACTTCTCGATATTTAGTTTACACGCCATACTTATAGATTAAGAAAGTACACATACAAGTCATATCGAACCTTGGAGGATGAAAGGTAAAATTAGTGGGCGGAGGGTGGGAAAAGGGATGATAGCGTTATGTGCTGATGAGAGATGGGGTAGGAAAGTCGTGATCGCAGGTACTGATGAGTGTAACACATGGAAGGTGGTGACTATGGTTACTGATATGAGTAAAGGATGGAACGTGGTGACCATGGTTACTGTTGTGAGTAAAGGATTGAAGGTGGTTACCATGGTAACAGATGTGAGTAAAGGATGGAAGGTGGTGACCATGGTTACTGATGACAGTAAAGAATGAAAGGTGGTGACCATGGTTACTGATGTGAGTAAAGGATGGAAGGTGGTGACCATGGTAACTGATTACAGTACATGATGGAAGGTGGTGACCATGGTAACTGATGACAGTAAATGATAGAAGGTGGTGACCATGGTAACTGATGTGAGTAAAGGATGGAAGGTGGTGACCATGGTAACTGATGTGGGGAAAGGATGAAAGGTGGTGACCATGGTAACTGATGACAGTAAAGAATGGAAGGTGGTAACAATGGCTACTAATGCGAGTAAAGGATAGAAGTTGGTGACCATGGTTACTGATGTGAGTAAAGGATGGAAAGTGGTGACCATTGTAAATGATGACAGTAAATGATGGAAGGTGGTGACCATTGTTACTGATGTGAGTAAAAGATTGAAGGTGGTGACCATGGTAACTGATGTGTGTTACGGATGGAAGGTGATGACAGTAAAGGATGAAAGGTGGTAACCCTAGCTACTGATGCGAGTTAAGGATAGAAGTTGGTGACCATAGCTACTGATGTGAGTAAAGGATGGACGGTGGTGACCATTGTTACTGATATGAGTAAAAGATTGAATGTGGTGACCATGGTAACTGATGTGTGTTACTGATGGAAGGTGGGGACTATGGTAACTGATGAGAGTAAATGATAAAAGGTGATGACAATGGTAACTGATGTGTGTTACGGATGGTAGATGGTGACCATGGTAACTGATGTGTGTTACGGATGGAAGGTGGTGACCACGGTAACTGATATGAGTTAATAATAGAAGGTGGTGACCATGGTAACTGATGTGTGTTACGGATTGAAGGTGGTAACCTTGGTAACTGATGTGTGTTACGGATGGAAGGTTGTGATCATAGTAACTGATGTGTGTTATGGATGGAAGGTGGTGACCATGGTAACTGATGTGAGTTAATAATAGAATGTGGTGACCATGGTAACTGATGTGTGTTACGGATGGAAGGTGGTGACCTTGGTAACTGATGTGTGTTACGGATGGAAGGTGGTGACCATGGTAACTGATGTGAGTTAATAATAGAAGGTGGTGACCATGGTAACTGATGTGTGTTACGGATGGAAGGTGGTGACCTTGGTAACTGATGTGTGTTACGGATGGAAGGTTGTGACCATGGTAACTGATGTGTGTACGGATGGAAGGTGGTGACCATGGTAACTGATTTGTGTTACGGATGGAAGGTGGTTACCATGGTAACTGATGTGTGTACGGATGGAAGGTGGTGACCATGGTAACTGTTTTGTGTTACGGATGGAAGGTGGTGACCATGGTAACTGATGTTAGTTATTGATAGAAGGTGGTGACCATGGTAACTGATGTGTGTTACGGATGAAAGGTGGTGACCATGGTAACTGATGTGAGTAAATGATAGAAGGTGGTGACCATGGTAACTGATGTGTATTTCGGATGGACGGTGGTGACCATGGTAACTGATGTGTGTTAATGATAGAAGGTGGTGACCATGGTAACTGATGTGTGTTACGGATGGACGGTAGTGACCATGGTAACTGATGTGAGTTAAAGATAGAAGGTGGTGGCCATTGGCTACTGAGGAGAGTTCAGGATTGAAGGTGGTGACCTTGGTTACTGATGTGAGTAAAAGATTGAAGGTGGTGACCATGGTTACTGATGTTAGTAAAAGATTGAAGGTGATGACCGTGGTTACTGATGTGTGTTACGGATAGAAGGCGGTGACCATGGTTACTGATGATAGTTAATGATAGCAGGTGCTGACCATGGTTACTGTGGAGAGTGAAGGATGGAAGGAGGTGACCATGGTTACTGATGTGAGTTAATGCTAGAAGGTGGTGACCATGGCTACTGGTGACAGTAAAGGATGGAAGGTGGTGACCATAGTTTCTATGAGAGTTAGGGATGGCAGATGGTGACCATGGTTTCTGATGTGAATTAATGATAGAAAGTGGTGACTCTGGTTACTGATGACAGTAAAGGATGGAAGGAGGTGACCATGGTTACTTATGAGAGTGAAGGATTGAAGGAGGTGACCACGGTTACTGATGAGAGTAAAGGATTGAAGGAGGTGACCATGGTTACTGATGAGAGTGAAGGATGGAAGGAGGTGACCACGGTTACTGATGAGAGTAAAGGATGGAAGGAGGTGACCATGGTTACTGATGTGAGTAAATGATAGAAGGTGGTGACCATGGTTACTGATGAGAGTAAAGGATGGAAGGAGGTGACCATGTTTACTGATTTGAGTTAATGATAGAAGGAGGTGACCATGGTTACTGAGGAGAGTGAAGGATGGAAGGAGGTGACCATGGTTACTGATGAGAGTTCAGGATTGAGAGGTGGTGACCATGGTTACTGATGTGAGTAAAAGATTGAAGGTGGGGACCGTGGTTACTGATGTGAGTTAATGATAGAAGGAGGTGACCATGGTTACTGATGTGAGTAAAAGATTGAAGGTGGTGACCGTGGTTACTGATGTGTGTTACGGATAGAAGGTGGTGACCACGGTTACTGATGAGAGTAAAGGATAGAAGGAGGTGACCATGGTTACTGAGGAGAGTGAAGGATGGAAGGAGGTGACCATGGTTACTGAGTAGAGTGAAGGATGGAAGGAGGTGACCATGGTTACTGATGAGAGTAAAGGATGGAAGGAGGTGACCATGGTTACCGATGAGAGTTAATGATAGAAGGTGGTGACCATGGTTACTGATGAGAGTAAAGGATGGAAGGAGGTGACCATGGTTACTGATGTGAGTTTATGATAGAAGGAGGAGACCATGGTTACTGAGGAGAGTAAAGGATGGAAGGAGGTGACCATGGTTACTGATGAGAGTAAATGATAGAAGGTGGTGACCATGGTTACTGATGAGAGTAAAGGATGGAAGGAGGTGACCATGGTTACTGATGTGACTGAGGGGAGTGAAGGAGACTTTGGTTTCTGGTGACCTGGTGGAAGACAAAGTTTTAATAACAGACTATGATGATAATTGTCAATGATACACCATGGCGATTGGCGTCCTGTCCTCTATATATACACCATGGCGATTGGCGTCCTGTCCTCTATATATACCGCTTACGAATAAGATATCGTCAGCCATTCATACCTACATTGTCAAATTTTTATTAATTCTAAAAATTGATGGTACTTTTTTGTCTGGTAGAATAAAGATGACTTATGGTAATAAGTATGATGTCATGTCGTAACTGTAGCGGAGAGAGAAAGGATAATACGGCAGCACTCAAATAGTGGTACGCTTAGTTTCGTGGTTTTTGCCGAAAACCAATAAGAATCCTGCCACAAATTCATTTTAATTTGATGCGTAGCAATGAAATATGGCACAATTGTTCCGGCTGCGGCTATGATGTAAGAAACCGCGGAGGGTGTGATCTCTCCCGACTTCTGGCGTCTCGC